GCCATCTGCACTTTAGAGGTCTTCAACAGCTCAAGAACAAAGAAATGGTGCATGGACTGCCATTTTTAGAAGAAGTGGATGAAGTTTGTGAAGGTTGTCAGTTTGGGAAGCAGCATAGAGAGTGGTTTCCAAAGAATCGGGCATGGAGAGCAAGCAAACCTCTAGAGTTGATACATGTAGATCTTTGTGGTCCTATGCAAAATGACTCTTTTACGAGTAACAAATACTTTATGCCTCTTGTAGATGACTGCACAAGAATGATGTGGGTTTATTTTCTGAAATACAAGTCAGATGCTTTGATCTATTTTAGAAAATTCAAATCCATGGTGGAGTTACAAAGTGGTCTTAAAGTAAAATGTATGAGAAGTGATAGAGGGGGTGAATTCACATCTAGTGAGTTTAACAAAGTGCGTGAAGATGCAGGAATTCAAAGACAGCTTTCTATGGCGTATACTCCACAACAGAATGGAGTGGTAAAGAGGAAGAACAGGGCAGTAGTTGAAATGGCAAAAGCTATGCTTCATGACAAAGGATTACCTTACTATTTGTGGGCAGAATCAGTACTCACAGTTGTCTACATACTGAATAGGTGTCCTACAAGAGCTCTTGGAGATGTAACTCCATTTAAAGCATTTAGCGGTTGAAAACCTGAAATTGCACACCTTAGAATCTTTGGTTGTTTGTGTTATGTACACACACCAAGTGAGTTGAGACAGAAACTAGATGCAAAGAGTGTTAAGGGCATATTTGTAGGTTATGCAACCTGTGAAAAGGGATATAGAGTGTATGACCGTCTTAATAAAAAGCTTATACTCTCAAAAGATGTAGTGTTTGATGAGAATGCAGCCTGGGAGTGGAAGAAAGCCCCGGACAATTATGTAACTGTGTTGAGTCATGATGAGTTATCTGAGATGCCTAAAAGTATTTCATCAGAGATAACTCCAGAAGGTCGTGACTATGTTTTGACACCAAGTTTGGTATCTTCTCATGAATCAGTAAGTGATGTGAGTAGTAGCATGAGAAAGACTCAAGTCTTTGATCACACTCCATTGAGATGGAGGAATCTGGATGATGTTCTAGCACAATGCAATCTCTGCATTATGGAACCTGAAAAGTTTGAAGAGGCAGCTAAAGATGAATCATGGATAAAGGCTATGAAAGATGAATTGTCAATGATTGAGAATAATGCAACATGGGAGCTAGTGAACATACTAAGTGATAAACCTATAATTGGGGTTAAGTGGGTGTTCAAGACCAAGCTTAATCTTGATGGGACAGTGCAAAAGAATAAGGCAAGGCTGGTAGCCAAGGGGTATGCTCAGAAACCAGGTGTTGATTATAATGAAACATTTGCACCTGTAGCTAGACTTGATACAATTCGAACTCTAATTGCTTAGGCAGCTTATAAGAGTTGGAAACTATACCAACTAGATGTGAAATCTGCTTTTCTGAATGGGGTACTTGAAGATGAGGTTTATGTAGAACAACCAGATGGGTTTGTGATCAAGGGAAGTGAAGACAAGGTGTACAAGCTTCATAAAGCTTTGTATGGTCTAAAACAGGCACCAAGGGCCTAGTATAGTGAAATTGATACCTATTTTGCTCACTGTGGATTTGTGAAAAGTCAAAGTGAAGCTACTCTTTACATCAAGGCAAGGGGATGAGAAATTCTAATTGTTTCAATCTATATGGATGACATAGTGTATACTGGAAATAGCAATGAGATGTTGAAGGAGTTCAAGGAGGACATGATGATAAAATATGAAATGACAGATTTGGGACTTCTTCACCATTTTCTTGGTATGGGAGTCATTCAAACTCACACAAGCATATTTATCCACCAAAGAAAGTATGCAGCCTCCTTGTTGGATAAGTTTGGTTTGAGTGAATGTAAATATGTGTTCACACCTCTTGTTTCATCAGAGAAGTTATGCAAAGATGATGGCAGTGGTTCAGCAAGTGAGGAACAGTATCGAAGAATTATGGGAAGTTTGTTGTATCTCACAGCCACTCGGCCAGATATAATGTATGCCGCAAGTCTTCTAGCCCGATTCATGCACTGTCCTACAAACAAACACTTTGGAACAGCCAAAAGAGTGCTTAGATACATCAAGGGAACATTAGATTATGGTCTGGAGTATGTAAAAGGAAAGAGTGCAATGTTAATCGGATTCTGTGATAGTGATTGGGAAGGATCTGTTAATGACAGCAAAAGCACTTCTGGTTATGCATTTTCTTTTGGCAGTGGAGTGTTCTCATGGGCCTCTGTGAAGCAAAATTATGTAGCACTCTCTACTGTAGAAGCAGAGATCAGTGCCTCTGAGGCAACTGCTCAAGCTATTTGGCTTCGGTTTGTTCTTGAAGACTTTGGTGAGTTACAAACTGAAGCAACTCTAGTGCATTGTGACAACACTGCAATTGCAATCACCAAGAATCCTGTGTTTCATCAAAAAACTAAACACATTGACAGGAGGTATCATTTTATCAAAGATGCATTACAAGAAGACATCATTGATCTGATCTATTGTCCCACAGAAGAACAATTGGCAGATATCTTCACAAAGCCTCTCACCAAAGATCGATTTAATCTTCTCAGAAGCAAACTTGGAGTGAAATCAGCTTTAGACTTAAAGGGGAGTGTTGAATTATAAGTCTATAGCTGATTAGAAATAAGTTGTGATGTTAATATGTGTATGCACTTAGATTAAATACTAAGTGAGAATGTATATAGATGTAAAGGCCATGAGTGCCATGTGTGATGATCTTAGCTATTAGCTAAATGTGTGGCTGAGATCTGTTTTTGAATGTTTTGATCCAGCTCAGTTTTTGTTGTAAAGCTATATCTCTCCTTGCACGTTGTGTGTGAAAGAGAGGGAAATTAATGAGAAATTATTCCTCTGTGTCTTTGCAGAAGGAAGAAACCACCTCGTTCTTCTCTCCCTGTTTTTTCTCTGAAACTTCATCTTCTCTTCTCTCCTTCGAATTAACTCTATCAAACGTTAACATTGTTCGCTCTCCGCCCCTCGAGATTCTTAATAATGATATCAAACTGAGTATCAATGTCCAAGTCTGACTCGTCCACATTCTTTTCTCTCATATAATCTCGACGTACATCATTTCTCTCATATTAGCTAAATCACCTATGGGTGTGGAATAGATATGAAATCAAAATTCCAAGAATAAACCTAAATGACTAGTACTTCCAGCTAGTCAAAGTCTACCTAGATATATCTGACCACATGGACTCATAAATTTGAAAACATTCACATACCAATTCATTAAGCAAACAATAAAGACAGCGTGTAGTATCAACAACTAGATATGGAGGCAAGTTAAGGAGCAGTGTACACAACAAGTTTTGACTGGAAAAATCCTTAACTGGGTTAAAAAATTGGGGAGAATCCAATCAACAAGTGTACAATAAGGTTCATACAAGTTAACCACAACAAGCTCTATTCTTAGACCTATTCTAAAGAACAGCCTGTGTGTAGCCTTATATTGCTCTAGGTGGAGTAGTCTTTGGTCTTTACAAAGAGACAGTTACACTTCTTCAGCTCATCTCTGTGGCACCAACACGAAACATGAACCATGCAAATGATATGAAGATATGAAAGATGATATGCAGCTATGAAATCAAAGTTTGACAAGTCTTTTTCTTCAATCAAATAGTCGAAAGGAAGAAGCTAATTGAGAATCCAAACAAGGTCTATATGAAGATTTGAAAATAAGATTTACACCATGAACAATGTAAACTTTTTTCAGAAATAATGTAGGTCAGTTAGCACAAAATTTAATGCATGAAAAAGATATTTGCAACAAGGGTTTATGAAGAACACCTAGAGGAGGCTCGGGGAGCTTAAAACACTCTCTACAAAATTTGGTCTTTCTAACCAAAGAAAAAAGTTCTCAACCCAGCCCTAATAAACCAAAAATCTTCTGTTTGCAACCAACAAGTACACCCTAAGACACTTGGCAAAATGTCAAAGCAATTTGAAAAATCAATGGTGAAGAACTCGTTCTCGGATAAAAAGTCAGTCCAACCTATGTGTACTTTTTTAAATTGTATGCCAGCTCAAGGGTAAAATACATGCAGAAATCAAGTAGGCAATTTCACTAGTCATAATGCATAAAAAAAAAAAATTAATGTAAAATGCATATGCTTGAACAAACCTAGCTTGAGATGAGGTAAAACCATTTGTACTTTGATCTTCAACAACTCAGACTTTAATACCAAATATCCCAAAAGTCTAATCTAATGAAATTTGATATAAAGAGCATGTTAAATAAATATAAGTTTGACAAGAAAAGCAAAAATTACTAAGTTTAGACTTCACAGTTGAGTTATGTGATCTCATCTTTCAACGATGATTTTATGGGGTCTCACTCTCCTGCGATGACTTTATGTGGCTTCGTTTTTCAACAATGATTGATGTATGTGCCGATATAGGTCTATTGCGTCCTATTGTTTGTGATGAAATCTATACTACTGCTGATTGTACGGTTGTGCTTGTGGTTGTCATATAGGGATTTTACTCAATTTGTGGATCTGTGCAAATTCACTCCAAATCAAATTATTACAAGTAATGTACCCAGTGTGTGTGTGTGTGTGTGTGTGTGTATTGACCATGAACATGGTCGACCGTGATATCATTATTGACATGAATAAACTAGAATTCTGTCGATTCACATGGACTGTATCTTTATTATTGTCTAGTTATCTCATGCTGAACTGTTAGATAAAAGCTCATAATAATCTTCCTCCGGGGGGGGGGGGGGGGTGGTTCCAATTTGTTTGCGTCAGTTAGTAAGAGATTTTCCTTGTCACAGTTTGAACAGTATTATTGCACACAGCATAGTTGCTGTGCTTGGACGCTTGCAGTAACATTAGTCTTCCAATTTGTTGGCTTCAAAATTTCTTGTCACAATTTGAACAGTATTGGTAGGTTTATAAAAAAAAGGATATATTATTGAAATACAAGAATTAAAAGGCAAAACAAACATACAAAATGTACCAATTAACAATAGAAACATAGGAATTTCTGATTAAAAAAATTAAAATGGTAATCAATTAATATCACCATGCAACCATTAAAACCCGCAAATAAAAATTGACAGAAAATTAAAAAGGAAAATACATCACCACCACCTTTACTACGATTACCAAATTCTTTAGCCCTTAAATTTAGCTTCACATTTTGCTGTAGGACCTTTGTACCCTTCCCCAATGTACTCACCTTGAATTGGCATTCAACTTCTGTCTCTAATTTCCATGTCTTGATGAATCCTTTCACCTTCACCGAAAGGTCCATTTTCAAAGTTAAAGGCAGATGCACCTTCGAATCAGTATTTTCCATACTCTTCTCAACCTCACGAGGCAAAGCTCCTTTGGATCCGTCGAGAACAAGCTTTACATTGGCAGAACTATCTTTTTCTTGTTTCTTTAATGAAAATTTTCCTTTGCCAATGCTTTTTTCCTTGAATAAAACGGAAGCCCCTTCACTACCTTCGTAGTTTATGCCATGTCCATTTGGATTATTCACTTTCAAGGAAACTTCATAGCTTGGATGTGAATTCTTGCCGGTATAGGATTTTGATTTCGGGTTCTTCACGTACACGTTCGTAATTGAAAATTTAGGCTCTTTAGGTTTCACAGTGAGGGACAATGAAAGCAGTGTTATGGAAAGTATGAGGCACAGAGAAATCACAATTGCTCCTATAATCAAGCAACGAATGGTGCAGCATGGGGACTTCTTCTTGTTTTCGGGGTTCCGGTGACGTTCAACAATTAAGGCATTTTCAGGGGGTGGCACGCGGTAGATCTGGTCTTTGGGGATTTGGACTACGTAGGTTCCTGCTCTGGGGAAGGGAGGTGATGGTGGGCGGAGTACTAACTGCATCTCTGACTGGGGAGGGTCCTCGTTTCCATCATCGTCGCCTGCTGCCGCGGCAGGTGAGCCCCGCTCCTCCATTGTAGAATGGGGAGCGGTTCAAAAATGGAGAGGTGGTGTGGTGAAGGTCGATAATGAGGGGAGAAACTGATTGCATGCATGAGAATTGAGAGGAGGTGGCATCTAAGATTGATTGGAGAATTGAAGGGTGAGAAGGAGGGTGGGAGGTTACAACTTACATAACTAAGAAAGAAGGCAGCCGTGATTTGTCCAATCACATATCCTATTTTTGGATGTTTTACTTGGTCAATGTAGAAGGTACTTGACAATCTGTTGCTGCCCTCAATTTTTCATATTCTTAATATGTATGTATGCTGTCATTCCTTTATTGTTATTTTACAAGCTATTTTATGTCCATTGTTACCTCGATTAGCCTATAACATTGTTGACAAGTTTGTTGCACCAGACCTATATGGTTCTATTATCTTGACATGCGTCTAATGTGAGTTCATCCCTCATCTAAATATCTCAGCTAGTATACATCCATCAACCACCTAGTATAGTGTTTAATGTTTAGCATATAGTAAAGGTTTTTTTTCTTTTAATTAGCCATAGTTTTACACCTTCGATCTCTCTCTCATTATTCACATATCATTTACATGGGTGATTCTAGAGATATATGTTGATCTATAATATGCACACTAAAAGTACTAACCTTGAGAAACCATTGAATTGAAGCACAAGGAGAATCACGAATGGTAGCAAACAAGCAAGGATCTTCCGCTCTCTCTACACGTCTGCTATATGGGGTAGGGGATTTTTTCTAGAATATTGTGTATAAGAGTGGGGACCTAAGCCTTATATTTATAGGTGAGAATATTAGGTTTCTTGCCCATAAAGAAGACCCTAATACATATCTTTAGCACCTTCAGATTTCATGACCTAACAAAAAAGATATTCCCTATTATTATATATTTACTTCACCACTAAATAATCCGGGATAATCAAATATTCTTTCCTATCTTGTATTCTTAATCAATTAGGAATCCTAAATAGATGTAAGCCCAATAAAAAATCTTACAAGAGAGACTATCTACTTGAACCATATTTTGTAGACCACATGATATGCCAGTTGATAGTTGGATCATTTTCTAAATCATTGAAGAAAGAATCAACCGCCACATCATGTGAGCTACAAAATATGATCTAAAATCATAATTTTCCCCAACATTTTCCTATTTACAGTATCTCTTCTTATTTCATTCATAAAAAATAAAAATAAATAAAAAAAGTCCATTTTAATTCCACTCAATTTTTTTTTTAATTTCCTCAAATTTAACAGACACATAATTGTAACTTTTATTTAGTTAGATCTACTAATGAAGTCCGTTCTTGTCTTACAAATCTTAAAAATGGTAAATCGACTTTAGATATTGAGTTACCACCTTAGACGTGGATTTTCATTCCTGATTTGATAAATTATGATTATTAAAAATGAAGCATGAATCAATTAATAGGCGGGATTCTGTTTATCAGCCAATTGGTCAATATTCATCTCAATGGCCCACTTCTGGTTATAAACTTCATCATGGACCATTTCTTGGATATTGGACCATAATTAACCCATTTCTGGTTATTAAAAAAAAATTATGTTATTTGCACTTTAAAATTTTTATTTTGTACTCCTTATAAGCGTAATTTGTACTCCAAAATATTTTTGAATCATACAGGTTATATCTAAGTTTTAGGGGATAGTTGAAGATTTGGTTCTGTTTGTCCAAGCGAACGAAAAAATCAAAGGAAAACTAATAAAAAGGGCTTGAAAACTTTGAGTTTTAATGATAAGGACAAAAAAAAGGGTAAAGTGAATAGTACCAGGATTGACATTTTAGTGTAAAAATGTGGTTTTTCGTTAAAGTGAACAATACCGGATGCTTTTCGTTAAAGTTCCCAAAAATCAATCGAGCATCCCGCCCCACTATAAAATTCGGGTTCTGTCCCTGATTTTATTTATCATTAGAGAGTGATGATAACTACACACTAAAGCGGACCATATCACACGATTCCATGTAATTATACATGCAGTTAGTTTGTTTTTGCAGTTTTAGATTGATGGATTTTTTGCAGCAAGTTAAGCCATATTCACCATAAAACCAAGAAAACAATCTCTCATTAGTCTTTAATACAACATTTACTGATACACATTCAATGAATTCATGTTGAATATTTCAAGAATATATTTATATATTTGTTAGCTGAAAAGTTGGATATTTGCCCAACCGTTGCTTCTCTTCGAGTGAAGCATTGTAGCATATGACATACTATATATTATATATTATATATATATAATATATATTGGTGCTGCATTGTGCAGCATGTGTGTACGAAAATGATGGTACCAAAATGTTGGATTTAATTCAACCTTGTATCTTTTGGTTGAACTACAACGTTTGGTTAAAAGACATGATACTTATTCAAATTGTATGAGTAGAATTAAAAGATATAAATAATCAATATTTATTTTCTCAAAAATTCTGAATAGAAAACATGTCTTTTGGGTTAACACTATTAAGAATGGTTGTATATCTTTAACTAAAATAAAAGGACTCGATGAACGAGTGCTTTAATACCTATAAATACCTATTGTGGCATAATGTTTCACACATAATTTCAGAAATTTATTTCTACATTCCTTGCTCTCTACTCTCTCCATCACATTCATACAATTTCTTTCTAGTTATTTCTAAGGGAATATAATTCGGTTTTGCTAATCGAATATTTCATACTTTATTGTATCCTGGAAGTGATTTGCCAAGAACCCTTTAGCAAACTCATTTGAGTGGGGGCAAATAACACTTCAAGGAAACGATTCAAGTCGTACCTCAAAGTCATCATTCAAATTATTATCTAAATTTCTACATTTACTCAAACAATCTTAAAGTGTTATTTTCGTCATGGAGAACAAATCTGATAACATGGCTTTGAAGATTATCAATCAAGATGTCTACAAGTTAGACAAATTTGATGAATCAAATTTCACCCGACGGAAGGACAAGATGTGTTTTATGCTTATTGTTCTATATGTCATATATGTGTTGAACCTGAAATTGGAGCCTATTTGTGAACCAAGTGACAAAGACTCGGACAATATAGTTTCCGATCGAAAGAAGCGTGAAGAAGATGAATTGGTATGTCGAGGACACATCTTGGGAACATTATCCGGTCGCTCATATGACCTGTATGCACACATTCAATCTTCAAAGAAAATTTGGGAAGCACATGAACACAAGTACACAATGGAAAAAAGAGGTACCGATAAATTTTTAATGTTCAAATATTATGAATTCACTATGTTTGGTAACAAACCCGTCCTAGACCAAGTTCATGAATTATTGGTCTTGGTCTCAAAGCTTCATGAACTTAAAATAGTTATTTCGGATCTATGATAGTTGGGTTATTATGGTAAAATTACCCCAAACATGGAATAACTATAGAAAGAAACTTCTACACATGGTTGAAGTTATTAGTTTGGAGGATTTGCAAAAGGGTATTCAAATTGAAGAGGAAACTCGAAATAGTGATAAGAATTTTGTAAATTAAGATTTCTCTAATGTTCACATTGTCGAAGGAAACAAATATAAAAAGAACTTCAAAGTCAAAATTGACAAAGGGAAGTTTAAGAAGACCAATTCCAACAACAATCAAAAGAAAGCAAATAGTGTTTGTTACCATTGTGGAAAGAAAAGCCATTACATTCGTGATTGTAAACACAGAAAAGCAAGTGAGGAATATGCCAATAAGACCAATAACACAAATATGGTGAAAAACTCTAGAATTGATAACATTGTTGCAATGGTATAAATGATGCATATTGGTATGATTATCGAACTGAATATGGTAGCGGCAATAAAATTCTCTGATTGGTGGCTCGACTCAGGGGCTACTATACATGTGTGCAATGACAAGGCACAATTCAAGACATATGAAGCAACAATGGACAATCAAGAAGTTTTAATGGTGAATCATAACAAAGTTCTAGGAAAAGGAACCGTTGAACTTCATTTTACTTCTAGGAACAAATTGACGTTGCTTAATGTACTACATGTTCCAAAAATTAGAAAGAATCTTGTGTCTGCAAATTTATTATGTAAGAACGGTATAAAGACTGTTTTAGCGTCTGACAAGTTAATAATGTCAAAAAATGGAATATTTGTTGGGAAGGGATATTCTTGTGATGGGATGTTCAAACTAAGTATTAATAATAAAGTGAATTCTTCTGCTTATATTGATGAATCTTCCTCTCATTTATGGCATTTACATTTAGCACATATAAATTTTAGATATTTAAAATGCATGCACACACTTGATTTAATTGCTTGCAATGATGATCATAATGATAAATGTGAAACATGTACTCAACCGAAAATGACTAAGAAACCTTTTCCAACTGCCGAAAGAAATACAAATTTATTAGACTTAATACCTTCGGACATATGTGAATTTAATGGTGTTTTAACAAGAGCAGGAAAAAGATATTTTATCACATTTATAGATGATTGTTCTAAGTTTACTTATGTTTATTTATTGTCTAATAAAGATGAAGTTTTTGAGTGTTTTAAGCGCTATAAGGCTGAAGTTGAAAACCAAAAGGGAAGGAAAATTAAATGCCTTCGTAGTGATAGAGGTGGTGAATATTTTTCACATGAATTTGATATTTTTTGTGAAGAGCATGGTGTTGTACATCAAAGAACTGCACCCTATACACCACAACAACATGGTTTGGCAAAAAGAAAAAATAAGACACTCACTGAAATGATTATTTCTATGATGATTTATGAGGTGAAGCATTGTTTACTGCATGTCATATACACAATAGAATTACATCTATGAATACACATGTGTCACCATATGAAATTTGGAAAGGAAGAAAACCAAATTTGTCATATTTGAGAGTATGGGGTTGTGTAGCTTTTTATAAGGCACTCGATCCTAAGAGATCCAAGTTGGGTCCAAGAGGAATTAAAAGCATATTTGTAGGATATACAGAAAATTCAAAGGCATATAGGTTGCTTAATTTAGACTCAAACACAATAGTTGAGTCTAGAG